TAATAGTACTTGTCCTTCTTTGATAAAGTAACAACTTGCTTTCTGGGGTCATTGTTTCATCTTTCTCCATGTCCTGTACCGCTGATTCAAATATAGTGATACTTACTGACTTCAAAGGGAACTTAATAGTGCATGGAGAAAGACAGGAAACATGGTGGGAATATTTAAGAGAGGACTTTGCAAGGTCAGGTTACCTTTCTGCAATGTCCTTATGAGCATCTCAAACCATTTTTCTTCTTTCTATTTTCAGGAACCAGTGGATATTTGGCCCTTTTCTTATCCATAACCCCCAATAAACTCATTAAAATATTTCCTTTAAATTCTATAGACAATACAATTAATACATGGGTTCTTCTGGTCTGGGTATGTAATTCATATTACCTTGCTTGGAAGCTCTCTCACCAGTGCCCTGTGGATGAAATCAGAATTTTGATTCCAACTTACATCACCTTCCTCAGACATAAATACATTTGAGAAAATGATGGAAACCAGAAATCAAAATGTTGCTTTTCTTGATACAGCACCAAATTCGGTACCTTTCTGGGGCTTCTTGCAGTCATCCCCTTTCCTCCAAGTTTGCTAATGTGATCATATTGATAAAGAGTGAATAGATTTAAGTCCTTATTTTCCTTTGAGCTTTAGCATAAAGTGCTCCTGAAAAACTGTCCTGTTTATATAAGATGGGCATGCATGCATACACAATCTCTACCTATGCCAAAGCATTTTCTTTATTATAATGAGATGTATCTTTCTGGATTTTCTGCACAATCAGACTGTAATTAAGCATAGGAGGCTGCAGGTAAGTGCACGAGATGCATGTGTAATTAAAAGAGAAAATGCTGGTTAAGTATCAATTCATATGACATTCAATTTACAAGAATTCAGAAAGCTACTTTTTCTTATATATTTCCGTTTACATGTGTGTATGTATTTACACACATGTATGTTTTCACACTGGAATCATATTCTCATTTCATATGCTAGAGTTGCTGCCACATGTACTGCCCCATCCAAGAAAATGTTGATATATATTGAATAACTCCATGAAAAATAAAATGCTTGCATAAATTCACGTGGGGCAAATAAAAAAAGCAGTCAGGACCCAGCAGGCTGAGTCAATGTATAGCCTGCATATGGAAACAATGACATGATTGTTTACTTACTGGTTTAATGATATTCACTTTCTCCTAATGGCAATGTGGAAAATGTGAGTACCAGATGCTGCGCCCAGAGCACAGAAGAGAGAACAGGGGAAGGTCTAGAATAAGGAATTTATCCTGACACCAGAATATAGTGTAACTCTTCAGTTTATTAACGCCATGTGTTTTTTTGGGGAAAATGCTTTGATGTCTGCAGCTTAAATTTCCATATTTTTATAACAGTTCAGCAACAAATTTACATATTTCCTGGAATCTGCAGATATAAAAGCGGTAAAACACTCCAGGCATTATTAGACAGTAGATTATAACCCATTACTATTGTTTCAATTAGCAATGTAAAAGTGACCTGCAGTGTTCAGATGACCCGCTAATGGATTTAAATGCTTTCAAATATTAATGCAGGTTTTCTAAAGATGAATCCCAAACCCATTATTCCTGGAACAACTATGAGCTGAAAAGCTGGCAGTGATTGTGCATTATGTGGAAAGGCTCATGGTTAATTAAATGAATACCTAGCATTACACTATTCACTTTAGTGCTACAAAATTATTTCTCATTGATTTTTACATTCTGAGTCCGTGATTCAATTTACTTCTGCAATTTGTGTTGCCGTGTCAATAAAAGAGAACTGCTTGAAGATGGAAGCATTAGAGACTGATAAATACATTAAGATCCAGTGAAAACTGCAGTTTTTCTATTGTTTTTCTCTATTGAAATATCATTTTTAGCAGCACTTTGTTATGTATTATTAATACAATTTTTGTTTGCTTCCATCTGCTCTCTTCTCCCCTTTTCTATTCAGGAACTGGAATGCTAGTGATTGCTTGAGGGTGAGTAGCTAATTTTTCAGTAACAAGTTCTCTCAATATCAAGAACAAAAGCACCATCAACACAAATCTGTTATTTCACGTTAAATGAACTAGAAGGCCAGATTCTTCATCAAAGACAGTGTGGGGAGTTACTGTGTGTGGGTGTGTTTTAATTTCAAGGAGTAAACGACACTCTTGCCTGTTAAGCCATGAAAGCTAAAGCATATTAAATGGTTCTAACCCCATTATACAATTTATAAAATATAAATATAATTTGATATATTTATAATGTGCATATTTTATTCAAAAATTATATTACACATTTTATAATTGAATACAAATGTGCCTTTTCTCCTTGCAACCTATCTTGACTCAGTTCTGTAAAAGTCCAAAATTGTAAGTTGAGATTTGCTGTAACGTTTTTTTCAAGATTTTGGAAACTTCACCTCATAGTTTTTGATGTCTAAAGAAATCTTATATGTGCTATTTTCATGTGATTTAGACTCATTATGCGGAGGTGTTTGGTATATCCTGTAAAGTTAATATTTCCTGAGAAAAGTTGGTTTACCAGTCAAATACAACGATCAATATCTTCTACCTAGTTCACTGGAGTTTATGGTGTCCAAACAAATTGTCTCCGTAAATATGGTCATTAGATCTCAACTCACCCCATGTTTAAATTTGTCTGTAGTCTCTTTAGATAACATGGGTAATCAAATCTTCAGCAAGTTTTAAGTTAATCTCTGAAGGAGTTACCTTTCATTGTCTACAGTCTTCTTACAAAACCGTCTTCAAGCCATTAGTTTTTATATTGACCTGAGTTGCTGATTAGAGTTTGACCATTGATAGGATATAGAGCCTACAATGTAGAAAATTTTATAGTGAAGATTATTTTGCAAATAGTTTTAAGAGCATCCTATAGGCATAAGATAATCAAAATGATACAAATGATCAATAAATATTATAAAAGTTTAACTTCCCTATAAATTCATGAATGCCAATTTAAAGAAATCAGTTGCGGCCGGGCGCGGTGGCTCAAGCCTGTAATCCCAGCACTTTGGGAGGCCGAGGCGGGTGGATCACAAGAGATCGAGACCATCCTGGTCAACATAGTGAAACCCTGTCTCCACTAAAAATACAAAAAATTAGCTGGGCACGGTGGCGCGTGCTTGTAATCCCAGCTACTCAGGAGGCTGAGGCAGGAGAATTGCCTGAACCCAGGAGGCGGAGGTTGCGGTGAGCCGAGATTGCGCCATTGCACTCCAGCCTGGGTAACAAGAGCGAAACTCCGTCTCAAAAAAAAAAAAAGAAAAAAAAAAGAAATCAGTTGCATTTTGCATATAAAATTGCCAAAGTGGAGAAGAGAGCATAGTATAATATTTAATAGTGGTGAGGGAATATATACATACATTCTATTTAATATACTATTTTATATATATATATATATATATATATATATATATATATATATATATCACTGGTGGGATATACAAAGATGCAACTTTTCTAAAGGTGATTTGGACATAAAGTATTTTTAAATTTTTTAAGTTCTGTATGCCCTTCCACTCTGAAATTCTACTTTTTGGAATTTAAGCTCAAGAAAAAATTATATAAACATATAAATACATATAAACATTTAGCTATATAAGCTGTTCATCTAGACCTTACTTCAAGTATCATTTATGAGAATGAAAAATTTGAAAGCATCCTAAATGTTTAAAATGAGGAATAAGCTAATAAATTATGGTACTTAGTATGATTAAATATTGTTCAAGGACGTAAAATAATGTACAACCTTTTTAATGACATTGAAATATATTTATATTATATTGTCTGTTGAATAAGGTACATTTCAGACACACACACACACACACACACACACACACACACTTGCCCAGTCACTCACAAGTGGCCAAACTTTGTAGAAAGTGTACTATGGCCTCTTATTTGGTATTTAATGTAAGGATAATTTTGAAGATATCCCAAGGGATTTAAATTTATAGTTTTAAATCATTTTTATATAAAAGGTAACTTCTCTTTATTCTAGAGCAATTTGAATTGTTTTTAAACAAAACAAAGATAACCTACTTATTTGAAACTCTATATGTACAAGAGAAGGTAGATTGGAAGGATACATAAGAAAATGTTAACAAGAAATTTGCAGCTGGTATGTTGTGAGTTATTATTTTCTTGCCTTTTTAAACATTTATACATGTAATATGGGTAATATATTTTTAGTAGCTAAAAAGTGTCATGGAGAATTATTGCTTAGTTATCCTACACTCAAACCAAGAGAAAAGAAATCCTTGTAACTCTTACAGATGGAAATATGGGGCAATTAGAAACAACCATGTAACTGTCAACTGGGAACAACTGGTGTGGCTGTCAAAAACATAGATTAGAATCCTGTTTCTCTGAGTTTACTAGCTGGGGAACACTAGGCAACTTACTTAACTTCTCTGAGCTTCAGTTTCTTCTAAATATACCTATATCTCTTAAAAGGGAAATGGTCAAATGCAAAAAGAAAATTCTTGGCTTTGTTACATCTGGATGTTGAGGTGTAGTGGCTTCTGAGAGAGCTGCACAAAAAATATTGCCTGTTTCCCACTCCATTCCAGTTCAATGCTTCACTCACTATCCTAAGTTGCATATGCTTAAAAACCAACATGACTTTTACTTTGTAACATTTGCTTTGAAGGATTTTCTGTTATTAAAATGAAATACATCTTTTCAGAAGAGAGCAGAGGGATAAGTAATCAAGCCATGTTCATAACACTTTGTCCCCAGTAATTAGTAAAACATCATTGTTGGAGTTGTGGCCTTTGCCTGAGCTCTGAGAGAGGAGGGCCCATCCAAGTCATGTTCTATTTTCCACTGTAACTCCTATGTCTGCACATAGTAGGTTCATATCACCCAACACATTGAGGTGATACATCGAAATAACAGTTTCAAGATTTACACTCTACGTTTTTAATGAATATTTATTTATCTCTTTGTAGAAAAATTGAAATAAGTAACTAATACATGATTATATAACACTTTGCTTATTATTTAGCTCCTAAATAAAAAAGGTATAATAGGAGAAGAACAAAAACAGTTTCTGCTTTTAGAAACATGGGGCTCATATTCAGTAACCAACAACTAACTCTCCTTTGTCAAAGGCCCTATCACACTCTTGCATCCCCATCCTCCACCTTGTAAGTCACAGTTGCACAGCTTGGAACTGGGTCCTGGCTTGCACCCCTTAGGCAGTGCCTGAAGTGTGGCTGGCTGGTGAAGATGGCCAAGAGTAGGCCTTTGGGCACAGAGTACTTTTTATTAGGTCACTGGGGAAGGAGATTTTTTAAAAAAATTTCTTTATAATAAAACTGTTCAGTATCCAGACAGTAATTCAGTAATCACTGTGGCTGAAGATAGACTCTAAGGATAAACACACTTTCTAGAATCTGGCTTGGATTCATCAGATTTGTACTGAGAACCAGATTGGCTGGTTCTCAGTGAAACACATTTATGGGAGAAACAATATTAGGCTTTTAGTGCCTCAGTGTGCTCATCTTCAAAATGGGACTAGTTACAATATATAAATGTATATAAATCCTGTGACTGTTATGGAGTTGAAATTAGTTAATATGGAGAGAGCATGTTAAGCAGTGAAAACACAGGGCAGGTTCTTAAATATTAGTTCCCACTAATCACAATGATTACTACTCGACTGCTCCTGCTGAAGGTCTGATCAACATTTCAAGAGGCCTGTCGGAGGTGAGACAGCGCAAACCCAAGTCTCTCTAAGCTTAGTGGTGAAGTGAGAAAGTGGCTCAGATTATTAAAACCATGAAGATATTGAACTAAAATTCCTTTACAAATTCCTTCATTCTTCGTAGGCACAAACCTGGCTATAAATATTCAGTAGGCATAGTTTTATAGTTGAAATAAAACTTAACAGTGTATGTTCAGCTTAGTTTAGTCTTCCATTGAAGGATAGAATGAATTGTTAAGTGTTAGCCAGCCAGATGCCAGGGTTAAACTTAGTTCTCTTGCCTCACAGTCCTGGACTCTCTCTATTGTATATATTTGTCTTAATGACTTAGAAGAGACTATTTTAAAATTAAACCACAAACAAAATAAAAACAAAGCAAAAGACTGTAGCTCTCTTAAGTCTTAGGGCATTAAAAGAGACTTTTTTTTGACAGTATTGTATTTTATAAATCACCTTATGTATTGGAATACACACACACATGCACACACACATGTGCACACACACACACACACTCTCTCTCTGTCTCCCTCTTAATTATTAACCAATAGTCCTCTAGATCCAGTGCTTACAAATACATTTTTACAGGAAAATTCAAGATCCCATATGCCACTATAGTGTTTTGCAGAGGAATGACTAGAATGACACTAGAGCCTGCTAGGCTTGCATCCAGAGCAAGGATTGGCTGCATGGCAGTTGTCTTGTCCTCGGGTTCTAAGAAGCACTGATGGAGGACCTCACTGTCTGCTGCAATATAAAAGGAACACTTGATCAGAGCATGTCACTCTCATTCATTTTAAAAACAACATGCAGAGTTAAATAGATCCAGTGCTGAAGTATGTAGCTTTCCATGCTATAGAAGGAAGCACGGTCAGTAGATAAAAATTTTAAACTGACAGTTGAAGATGGTGTCATAAATCGTACTTTCCACAAGTTAACTTACCAGAGAATATAGCACTATTCACATTTGGCCAAAATTTACATGACATTAATTTTGTTTTTGTGTTTGCCTATATTATCTTTACTTGCACCATTATCTTGATTAATACACAAACAGATAATAAGATAGAAACATTGGAATAACTGCAACAGAAATAATGAGGGGAAAATAGTTTGATGAAAGTAGGGTCTCTTCTTAATGAAATAGACAAAAAGCACAGTTTGAGCATGCATTTTCTTTTAAAGATTATTTTCAAATTTGATAATGATATTTATTTTATTTAATGTTATCTAAGATTAAGGTACATCAAGAGAAAATAATTCTCTGTGCTATACCATAAAAACTATAAAATCTGATTAGAGAGTGGAAGTTTGATAGAAATTATTGTAGCCACAAAGAATTACAACATAATAAATAGTATAGATTTCAGGAACTTACTATCTAAGGTAGGTAGTGCATACATTACTCAGCTATGTGAAAGTCATCTAGAGAAATATTTACTCAGTAGTGAACTAAATGAGGTTGCTGAAGATTATTAAGGTCACTATAAAGACATTAAACCATGGAGAGGGAGGGGAAAAATTCTGAAAATAGAATCAATGGAATGTCAAGAGTCTGAAATCCACAAAGAACAGACATATTGCATAAAAAATACTTTTTGACTTGTTATATAAATAGCTTCATTTTTCAAAAGCATTAGGAAATACGCTTTACATTATATGGTCAGAAAAGGAGAACTGCATTCTGTGCAGAGCTTCATGTGAATTCATTTTCTCTGTTACGGCTTAACTCGCCCCAGCTTCTCACCGCTAATCATAACAGACTCCTTCTAGTTTAATTATGTTTCAAGTTCTGAAGATGAGTTAACCACTTACACAGGGAATTTGACTTGCATTGATCAGTTAAAAAAGAAAAAAGAAAAGAAAAAGAAGTCTATGTTTTGATTAACCATTTAACTGACCAACATTTTGGCTTCTTAAGATGATTTTTTTCAGTCATCCTAGTGAAGTGCCCAACATACAGACAGGATGCAAGAGGATAGCCTCAGACACTACAAAGGAAATAGTGTTATAAGTTAGTTTTTCATTAAATGCATAGCAGAGAGGCTGAGAACTGAAACAGAGAGGACTTCCACTCCACTGAAGGAAATTGTACCTTTAGAGACCAATTGGTGGAGAAAATTGCTAGAAAGAGCAGGACAATTTAACCTGAAGCTTGACTGTGCATCTTATCCATTTGTCCAGCTAAAAAAATCAATTTCTCAGTTTACCCTGACAATTTTAATTGTAGGGCTGACTATATCACAGAAGAGCAAACATGAGATTAGATCTGAAAATATGTAATTTACTTTGGCAATCAAATAACAATAAAACTATTAAAATACAGCATCCCTTTCATTTATATACTGAACATGTGTTCTTAACAGATTCTGAAATACATGTTCACCATACACACATATAGTATAGTTTCTTACAAAAAGTAATTGAAAAACTAGACGTTCGTTATCTAAATATCAGGGTTCTGGGAAAGTACTACTGACGTTTACATTGTGTTTTATCACACTTTTTTCCTATTTTGAGGCTATGAAAAAGCAGATTTTATACTCAGGTTTTTTTTTTATCTTTTTTAGATTCTAAAGATATTAAACTAAGAGCAATGCTGTTTAGGCATGAAAGAGCTTAGTACTGGATGGTCACTCTTCAGAACTGTAAATTTTGGTGCTAGCTTTAATTAGTTTTATGAAATTAACCAATGTCTATTCTCTATACCTATTTTCCAGTATAAGATTTGCTGGACACTAGTTCAAATTTCCAAGTTCCTAGTGTTCAATGAGAAAACACAACTTTCTGTGATCAGTAATGTGACATATTCCTTAATATAACCAAAATAACTTGCCTATCTTTAAAATGAAAATAATGATGAAATGAAGGGTTTAAAACAGGGAAGGAAAACCAAAAGATATCACATGATTCTTAAAGAAATCACTTGTATTTGAAACTGAAATTATGCAAAAGCTATGGAAATAGTAACTCCACAGTCATGATATATATATGTAAGTGTATACCTTATTTGAGATTCCACTAAAATTCTGTGAGCTGAAATTCACTGTAGGTAAGAAAAACTAAAACTGTTTTTCTACTGGACCTTACCTTCCTTGGAGCTCTGTGTATCTGATGTAATAAATTCACACTTTTCTGTGTTAAATTTGTTCATACAATAGAAGCTTATAAAAAAGAATATAGACTAAAGAGTAGTTGCATAATGAGATTTAATCTATGTAAAATATCTCCCAGAAGAAATGTCCTTTACTTTGATCATATCCCTTGAAACAAGATCCCCTGCTGGAAACCACAATAAATGAGAGCTTGGGAAAAAACTCGTCTGGCAGACAAGCTTGCCTTTTAAAACAAAAGTTCACCAAACCCACCAAGTCCATGATCCTGGGGTGGGTTTAATTAATGTCAATGAAATCTCCAAGGTTTCCTGAGGCTTAAAGGGGAAGTAAATCTCTGGATTCCTGGATTCTACATGCCGTCCTCTCTGAGATACTCAAGATTGAAACATACACACACACACACACACACACACACACACACATTCCACCTGTGCATGTGTGCACACATTGTACCCATATGCACACATGTGCACACACATTCAGTCGCACATACACACAGAGTAGGTGTCTATTTCATTATGCAATGTTCTTTTTAAAATTTAATTTTTTCAGGGTAGGTTCACATGTCACTTTACTATGATTCTCAACATGGCTCCAGAATGTCAACAGCTATATTGTCTCTTGTCATCAGAATGATTTAGCATATTTCTCTGAGTGGACATAATAACATTTCTGTCTTGCCTTTCAGTTCTGTCATTGACTCATATTTTTATTAAATGCGCAGTGATGATCTGTCAAGCTCAACTGAAAAGACATACCTGAGTAGAATCTTTAGTTATTTTTCATTAAAGTTTGATTTCACGTTAAATAATTCCTCATTAAATTAAAAGGGTTTGTTTTTTTCCAACTGTGCACTCTATTTCATTTCACTCAGAGTCAAAGAGATTCCAGACCTGATTACATATCCTTTTATCAGAAACAAATTAATGCCAATGCCAGTAAAATATTTAATTTTATTTTATATTGGTTATGTATAAAGAGACTTACCAAGAGCATGTTCACAGATCACAGCAGCCATCTTGTCCCCCAAAAATGAAAGAGGATGCTAGAGATCAGCTTTCATTCATACCTAAATATAATATATAGTTAATGCTGATTCTCTGGCCTAGAAATAGCAATTCCATCCTGTAAATAACACATGTGACATAGTGTGAAACACACACATGCACGCACATACAATACACAATTTTCAGAACCGTTAAGCTGCTATACCATACCTAGGGAAACAATTCTATTCTCTCCCCATTCATATCCTGAACAATGATTATTTTTATGAAAATTCTCTTTCAGTTGTTCTTCTCCTACCTTTCCAATTATGCCAGCCACAGCATTTTGAGCCTCTGACTCTCTTTAAAAGTTTTGTTATGCAGACTTCAATTTTCTAAACATCTCAGAAATACACAAGTGGTCTTAACAAATATAGTGTGACTGCCGTGTGGTTTCGTTTGCTTTTGTAGTTTCTAAGACACTCTAGCATTATTTAATTAGCTAAAATTTCTTCTCTCTTGAGAAATGGAAACTCAATGAAATGTCAACAATGCTGTCAGTCTGCTTCAGGCTAAACTCATTACACAAAAACTAAAGGTAAAAATAGTCCAAGGCAGAATTCTTTGTCATAATTTTGAGGCCCACACCTTATGCCAATGAAATCCATATGTGATTCTATGAAAATGCTAAATTGGGAAGAGTAGCTAATAAATTATCTCAACAGAGGCAATAATTGATCAGTCCTTGCATAGAAATTTATCTAATTAGCCAAACAACATATCAAGTTCTGCCGAGGATTATCTGAGTACTACATTTATTGCATGATGAAACGTTGCTTATCAGTTCTGGTAAGGCCAAAAACTGCTCTGTGCTGCTCTTTATTCCTAAAATAAACCCTTTTCTTCAGAGAAAGGAAAAAAAAATCATTGTCTTTTTAGGTGAAGTACAGCCAAGAACTGAACAAAACTGCCTCACTTTATCTGAATTATCATGAAGGGTTCGGTATCCATGGGCTCATTACTAAGGATAATAAAATTTGGCATTTTCTATTGTCTGAGGGTTTATAAAGGCTAAATTTCTTGATTTATTTAAATAGATGATAGGAAAGAGCAAACTACAAAAACAAGTGCTATATACTGAAGGCATGTGAATTACCTCCTTCCCAAGGATAATGCAAATTAGAAGTACGTAAAGCTTTGTCTGCACCTGGGATCTTTAATGAGGATAAAGAAAAATCAGACAGAGATTCTCCTGGGGAAAGAGAGGATCGTTATTTGAATAACCTGCAGTGAATTCTAATCAATGCGACGTGACTTTGAAAATGAATGTGGTCTTTCAACCCGCTATACTTGAGCTGTAATATTAATCATAACTCCATGGTACAGTAAAGCTTATGACAAATGCTTATCCAGTGGACTCAGAAAAAGACTGGCTTGGGTGTGCCAAGGAGAAATGGAACCATGAAAATACAAAGGCTCTTCTCTTTTCCTCCCTGCTAGCCCATTTATTGGCTAGTGTATTCTGTTATCTTTCTTTGATTATCTCTAAAGAGGCTGATGCAAATTGCATGTCATAACTGTAATTGTTTTCTTTTCTTCAAAGGTGACATTTTACATGTAGCTTATTTCCTGACACAGTCTTAGGAGTGTTATTTAACATTAAATTATATCAGGAAACTGGTGTGCCAATCTGCTAAGGATGCATTAAACAGCACAGCAAACCACCCAACGCAGGAGGGAATTTCAGCTCTGCCCCATTAGAACAGTGCATTCTTTATAAGTGCATCCTGGACTTGAAGAAGGTTGAGCATATACATGGCAGATTTCCTGGAATGTTAGATAGAAAAGTGGATGCTGACTTAAAAAATAATTTTCAAAAAAAATCAGCTATCAAGTGTTTTCTGACTTAAAAAAATATAATTAGTTTTTGACAAGTTGACATTAAAAGGTTTACAGCAGAGACACATAATGCATTAAAACTAAACTCTCAAGAATCACACGAGGAAGCAAGAAGATGATAAAATAAACACCTTAAAATAATTTAAATAATCTTTTGTCAGGAAGTAATTCCAGAGAAAGAAGAAGAGTGGCATATTTGCATCGGCCTAATGGAAATAGTGTTTAGTAATCAGAGCTGTTTGCCTGGTCATTGTTGCTGCTATAATGTTTTCAAGTGAACTACAAAATGGTGCAACACAGATACATCGTCCAGCACGTGCCATTACTTTGTGATGACTCCTTGTTCATAAGGCAAAACAGAAATCCATTCTTCAAATCTACATTCCCACAGGAGAGTGGTTTCTAGATTTCATGTGTGAAGTAAAAGGGAATGCTAGATGCTACTCACAAATCTGAAGGCAGCCAAAGTAGACAGATGCACTTCAAACTTACTCTTGTTTTGTAGAATTTAAGAACAAGAGGCTTCGTGAGGCATCATATATTTCAGCCCTGCTTTGATACTGCCATCAAATCATAATGGGCACACAGATAGAATATATGTTGGAGATAAATGGAATTTGTGCATATGTTTAAACATATATGCACACACGTATATGTAAACATATGAGACAGATATGAAATATATATGGAAAGTATACTTGAAATATGTATATTCAAGTATTTGGTCTGGGTCCACAGGCCTGAAAAACAGAAGAGCCAATGGTCCCCTGCAAGTTTCTCCTATAAAAACAGAGTGTAAACTCCAGTTCAATGGCAGGAAATCAACATATGATCAACATTTCAATGCATACATACATACATATATATATATATATACACACACACACACATATATTCAGGAATATATATTTGAATTTGTACACATATAGGTATGGAGTGTACAAATTCAAATACATATCTGTAGATTTAATGTAGATAAATAGGTAGAACACTGAACTTGAAGTCACAATCAGTCATCATGGTCCTCATATATTGTCATTAATGTATTGTTAAGTGTCATTTTAATTATCTTTTACTGGCAGTTTTATTCCTAGTCAACATTATTGTATGTGAATTATGAGTTGTGTTACATGTGATTTTAAACTTCCAGCCCTAATGCCAAGGATGTCCAACATTTTTTGTCTCTTCCAATGTGCTAAGAAGATAAAACACTGTATGTGGTACACACTAATTTTATACCTATTTTAGACATGAGAATTCGGGGTGGGGATGGTTAATTTTATATGTTAACTTGACTGAGCCATGTGGTGCCTGATATTAGGTTAAATGTTATTTCTGGGTATGTTCATAAGGATTCTTCTGGACAAGATTAGCATTTGAGTCATAGGATGAGTAAAGCCGATTGCCCAGATTGTCCACTAATATGGATGCACATCGTACAGTCTGTTGAGGGCTTGAATAGAAAATTCAGACAAAGGCAAATGTGCATATGTGTGCTCTCTCTCTCTCTCTCTTTCTCTCTCTCTCTCGCTCACTCTCTCCCCGTGATCTCTTGAGCTAGATGTTGATCTGCCATTGAACTGTAATTTACACTCTGTCCTTGTAGGAGAGACTTACAGGAGAAAACTCCTGTTTCTCAGGCCTTTAACTCAGACACAAACTACATCACTGACCCTCCTGGGTCTCCAGCTCTCTTTCTCTCTCTCTCTCCCTCTCCCCACATATATATATATATATATGCACACACATATATACATACATATCTCTTTCTCTCTATATATGCATATATATACATCTATTTATCTATCTATCCATCTATCTATGTATGTATGTATGTATCTATCTATCCAACCATCCATTTATGTATCTAGTCTCCTGTTGATTCTGTTTCTTTGAGGACGCTAATACTAGGGTCCTAGGAAGGTTGTGTTAATTTCTCAATTTAATCCAATTTGTAAGTGGCAGAACTGAAAATAAAATCTATTCTTCTAATATTAACACATGATTCTTTTATAAAACAAATTTATTGAGTTATAATCTGTATCTTATAAAATTCATGCATAAATATACAATTCAATGATTATTAGTAAACATACTGAGTTGTGCATCAATCATCACAATCCAGTTTTAGAAATTTTCTTCTCCCCAGTAAGATTCCTCATGCCTGTTTAGAGTTAATCTCTGTTCCTACCCTTAGCCCTAGGCAACCACTAATCTATTTCTGTCTCTATAGGTTTTACTTTTCTAGATGTTTCAGGTAAATGGAATGGTGTAATATAAAGTCTTTTGTGTCTGGCTTCTTCCACTTAGTATAATGTTTCTGAGACCCTTCTCTGTTGTTGCCTCATGATTTTTATAATGCATTTGTCTACTCTTCACTCTGCTCACTGCTTCTGCTCTATTTTGAGCTGTTTCTATTTTGATCTCAACTTAGGATGGGAAACAAAGAGATGCACTGTAGCATGGTGAAAAAAAAACCCACACTAGCATTGAAAGGAAGAAGATCTGGATTTGTAATCTATAAGCAAGGCAATTCTATCTCTCAACTACCTCACCTGCAAAATCGTGTTTATTGGAAAGACCAAATGAAGTAAGGCCCAAAATGGCACCTAGAAAACCACATAAATAGTAGTTTATTAATATTGTGTTTATGACAGCATGAAGAAGTAAATGAGTCAGATTTTCCAGATATAATAATCTCTTTACACTCAAGGAATTCTACATCTAGTGTGAGAAAGTTTAATTAACATAGTCTTAACAGTGATCTAAACTCCTGCAGTTCAGGTCACCATTCCCTAATGTAAACCCAAGTTCATGTTTATATGCCACAAGTGGTAGGTTTTTATTATATACAATTTATAAACCACTCCTGAATTCTTTCAAGGTAGCCCACAGTAGCGGCCACCAGTCCCAGACTGTAGAAACTGCAAAGGAATCACTGTTGGTGTCTTTTGAAAATGCAGATTCCTCAACAGACAAGAATGGAGCTTAAAAACTTTCATTTTAAATAATTCTGAAAATGATCCATTTATATCCTATAATTTGAGAACAAACGAGTGAAAATTGTTGTCAGATATATTACCTAGAGTAAGGTCAACATAATGATATTAGAGCATTCTAGAATCATATCACAAATTCCCATTGTGCAAAGGGTGCTGTTTGCCTCTAATATCTATTCTTCCCTTCTTTCTTTTAGCACTATTATCCTAGAATTTTAGCTGAGCTCCTGATTACCCAGCCTTCTTGCTGCTAGGTATGATCATGTAACTAACTGCTGGCCAATGACATTTGAACAGAAATGATGCATGCTATTACTGGCTCATGTTCTTAAAAGTAAGAAGTTGACTTTCCATTCATTTTTTTCCCTTCTCAGGAGCTAAACTATGAATAGGATGAGACATCCATGACTTGTAGATAAAGACGACATTACTGAATTGCAAAGCATCAAGATAGCATTTGGGTATTAAATAATCTCATGGATTGCCTACCAGCTCAGATTCTTAAGTGAAATGAGTAAACTTTGATTTTGTATTAATTATCGTTATTCTTTCCTCTGCTAAATA